GCTCTGTCTCTGGTGAATCCTCTCACCCTCCACATCTCTGGCCTGTACCCCAGTTCTGTACAAATAAATAAATAAATATTTAAAAAAAAAAAAAGCATTCAATATTGATACTGTGATTTATTAAAAATGAAGACCATGTAAACATGGTCATAGTTTTAAGAAGTTCTTCAATAGAAAGGACAATTTTTAGATCAGGCTTTGGAGTCCCTCAAGGATATTTTTAAATTAAAATTTTTGAAATTTCCTTTAAACTTATACAGACACATACGCTTTCTCTCTCACAATGTGTGACTACAATAGGCACATATTAGACCATGCTAAAAATTTAAAATGCTTATTATTCTAAATTTCTTTCTGTTGCCTTGCAACTTTAACTGATTCTGGTTATGTTTATTGAAACCGTATCTTCAACCAAATGTTTAAATGCCAATGAATTTTGAGAGCCTGCACAAAATGTTCAGTCTTTACCTCGAGGTAAATGAGAAGCTCCGATATGAAGCGGGGGCCCAGGAGCATTGCTACGAATAATAGACATCTGTACATTTGTGGTCATGATATGATGCAAGTTGCTGGGATGTCCCTGCAAGAAACGGGATGTGATGTTATTTTCATGTATTTGGTCTTAGCCAATGGAATTGCTTCTAGGATGTCAGTTGACTCAAAATGTTGTTCCTTTTAGGTGGTGAGCACCCCAAGGGAAAGAATATTGGGCTGATTTTTACAAGGCTTGATGACTAGGTCAACAGATCTGTGCAAGTGACTATGACCCCCCTGCCACCCCCCCCCCCAACAGCCTCGAGTCCAGTGAGCTACTAGATATGGAACAAGTGATACACCTCACTGTCCACACTTCTGGACACACTCATCTTAAATATTAGTCTACAGATTTGTTTTTCTGTCTTTGTCCAAAGCTTTTTTACTACTTCCACCATTTCTTGTATATGCCACTGCATTCATTCTTTGCACTATATAGAATTTCTAAATAACTGTCACTATCTACCAGGTACTATCAATTCTATATGTTGTTCCTGAAATGTCCCTTTCATACATCCTTCCAACATAGGTGCCAGTGCTGCTCAGGGAGGGGATTCCAGTACTTCTAGCAGTGTGACAAAAAGGAAAACCATAGTGCATCTTTTTGGAATACTATTTTTTTTTTCTTGAAAACTTGAAGGGAAAGTTTTGAGGTTCAGCTTTCACCATTCCCCACTGGTAATTAAAATATTTACATAAGTTAAATGTATTCTATGGGATAGAAGTTCAAAAAAAAAATTAAGTTAGATCATGAGACTTAAAAATAAATTTTCATGGGGCCCTCCCTGGTGGCGCAGGGGGTTAAAGCACCGCACTGAGAATCTAAAAGCCACTTCCTCATGAGTTCGATTCCTGCCTGCCCCGGAGGTGACCACATGGCGTGGCAGACCTCTCCTGACCCGCCCGCTGCTCCCCTCAGCAGTGTACTTCGTCGATCTGCCTGTTCTGCTCCCCACTCTGTCTCTAGTGAATCCTCTCACCCTCCACATCTCTGGCCTGTACCCCAGTTCTCTATGAATAAATAAATAAATCTTTAAAAAAATAAATAAATTTTCATGAATGGTGGTCTATTTGAGAAAGACCATCCAAGAGATGCACATTCACATTCCTCAGAGAATATCCTAGTGAAGCACCACTGCTACAGGGCTATTTTCACCCCTCCCCAACCCCATAACAAAGCATAACTGGAATCTCAGCCCCTTAAGGACCTGGCCTGTCCTAACTAGACTGGCACCTGACACTAAGGCTAGTGCTCCACACGCAGCAGGTGTTCAATAAATAATACAGACCATTAAGCACATGGATTTCTACTACCTGAAACTATCCTTCTCTCTCAAACCCACTATGTGCCTCTTACAGGTATCAGTGACTATAAAATATTTTGTTTAACACAGTGCCTAATATACTGCTGGCTCTCCATAAATTATAATCAACAGTTTGGTATCTCAGTTCAAAAAAATCAGCAAATTAAGAGGAAAAAAAAACCTGTTGTCCACTGATTGTTGCCACAGGAATGGCTGAAGCTTGAGGGATGCTACTCTCCATGGTAACGGTAACCTGCCCTGGAACCTTGGGGGGAAGTGACAAGGTAGAAGGTGGAGCAGGAGCAATGGGACGGCTAGGCATGGTGGGCTTCGGGGGTGGCTGCAAACAGAAAACCACACAAAACATATCAGTAACTTTTTACTAGTGAGGCATTTCATGCTACAGTTAAAAGTCTACAAATCAAATCTGAAAAGTTCCAGGAAAGAGGTCAGAAGCCCTATGTATCTTATAAGCATCAGAGGTTCTGCACTGAAATACTAGCATTTCTATTTTAGAGATGAGGAAACTTGAAGCCAAGGCCAAGTGACTTGCTCAAAGCCACATAGTTAAAAACTAGAACTGGGAAGAAAGCCCAGATCTGTATGGCTCAGAGCCTACTTCTTTTTTCTAGAGAATACCACCTCCCAAGTTTGTGCAGAAGAAAACAAAACTCGCAGTAACTGAAAATAACTACAAGATAATACACAAGGTGATATTCTTCAATACCCTCCCCATTAACAAGCTATTACAACAAAACCACGAAGTGTCACTTCAAGATAAAAACTGACTTAGCACACCCATAAGTGAATAAAATCAACATCAAGTGGATACTAGCAAAGATCCTGTGGTGCCACCTGCCAAGCAGTAAAGATTAGGTATTGCAGAGCAGCAGAACTCCGAGTCACAGAGAAACCCTGAACTGGTTGGTCAAAAAGAAGAACACAGCCTATGACACAGCCTACGACTTTATGAAAGCTGTCAGGAATATTAGCCAGTCTTTAGCTGTGGTTCAATGTGAAATTTTAAACCTCTCCGTTACCTTCATAAGTCCCTCCGAAAATGAGAGTGGCACTGCTGGCGTCAGATGTGCTGGTGGGGCTGTCACTGTGACAGGGGTGCCCGATGCAACAGCATGGTGTGTAGACAACATCTGCACCTGTGGATAAGGCCTTACCACTACAGGCTCTTGCTTCTCTTCTCGGGACTGTAGGGAGCTGCTAGAACCACTCATGTGTTCCCTGGCAGTGACTTCAGCATCTCGACTAGATTCTTCATTGACTAGGAAAAACATCAAGGGTAAAACAGCGTGCCACATCCTTCTAATATCAATTGATGTAATAGCACATATAAAAGGCATGAGGCTCAGGGTGTGAGAGACCTTGTGAGAGCTTAACAAGGAGAAATGGACATTACATTTCCATATGGATATGATACCCAAGAGTCATGCTTGTGGAAGATTTGTCTAAATGTTGTAGTTTGCCTGCTCCTATGACAACTATCATGTGTAAAATGAACTCATGTAGTTGAAAGTACAATGCAAAAGTACACCAAAAGCATTTAAAAAATTTTTAAAACCTTTGAGAAATAATTTAAGAACTTATATTCAAGAACATGTAATTTTTCAACACATATGTCTCAGTCCAAATTTCTTTAGAGTTAACACAGGAATTTCTGATTATTACAATGCATGTCCCCTTGGATCTGGAACAATTCAGGAATACATCCTACTGATACACAGCAAATGTGTAAAATGATTTATGTATTAGGTAGCTGGTCTCAACATTTTTATACTAGCAAAAGAACTGAAAAAAATCTACAAGTCAACCAAGAGGGTATGAGCCATATAAGTTATGGTATATTTCCACAATAGTCTATTAAAATTATAAAAATAAAACAAGCAATCCTTTAAGGATAGAGCAATGAAAAGGCAAGATACAGAAGAATGAAAAAGTAAAATGATACATACAAATGCATGTATTTACATTTTGAATATGGATTACATAACCCCAAAACATCTTGGAGAGAGAACAGATAACGAGATAAAAATGGGAGGGATACTTTTCATTCAATGCATTTTCTTTGGGAATTCTGGGTCATACAGACATGTAACATTTAAAATTAAGTTTAAAACAATTAATGTAGAATTAATGTAGAACTGGAATTAATGTAGTGAGATTTGTGAAATATTAACTCTTATAGAAATTAAAAAAAAACATTTTTATGGACATAAAAATTATACTCAATTTGTATTATTTAGAGCACTATAATGAAAGTAAAGCTGCTCCCAAATATTGGTGCTCCCTCAGGGCACCAATATTTCATATTTTAGTAAAACTTCCAGACACTTCATCTGTTTCTGGGAAGAGTTTAACTTTTTATTGAACCTATAACCTTCATAAATGCAAGTATTAACTATATAGCTCAGTAGACTTTAACAGACTGAATTACATCTGAGGGCCCAGTCAAGATGCAGAATATTAACTGCTTCTCAAAAGCCACCTGCTCAGCCCCATTCAACTCACTACCCAAACATCTGGTATTACAGATTACTGTTGCCTATCTTTGAATTTTAAGAGTCATAAAAGAATAGATCCTGTTTTATAGGGATGAGATTCCCATGTTACTACACATGGGTGTAATTTTTCCCCAAGGCTGCAAATATGCCATTGTGTGAATAATGAATTATATACTTTGTAGGTAATAGGCACTGATAGTTTTTGCTATTTTGAATTAGAGTGTGAATAATATTCTTGTGTCTTTTGGTGAACATACACATCATTTCTGCTAGGTAAAAATCCAGAAGTAGAAATGATGAATAATATAAAATATATACTGGATTATTTAAAAAATGTTAAGTGAAATTCCATTTCATACATGTGTCAGAACTTCAGAGCTTTTTAAACCATTATACCATGAACAGATTTTTGCTTTCATATGTTTGCTTTCTTCAATAATTCTGGGTTAAATATCTGTGCTTTATGCCCTTGTTCCATGATCTCAAGTAAAAACTTCTAAGAGTACAAGTACTGAAGAGTCATGTATTGGGCAACACACTGATTTTTCAGGCTACCTGATTGAGGTTACAATTTACATACAATTGAACTGGCCAGTCTAAGATTATAGAGTTCAATGATTTTTTTTTTTTACAAATACTCTCACCAACCACTTAGGAGTGGAATGCTGGTCAAATGGTATGGATGTGTTAACTTTGTAAGTAACTGCCTAAGAACTTTCAAAAATGGCCATATCATCTTACAGTCCTACCAATAGTATCTTGTCTTACTCTGCTCCTCATCCTCATCAATTCTTGATACACAGTCTTTCTAGTAGATTATCTTCTTATGGTTTAAATGAGCATTTCCATTGTAACTATGATGCTGAACTTCTGCTTATGAGATCATAGGTCACCATTCATATATATCCTCTTCTGTAAAGTATGTGATTATATCTTTTGTCCACTTTTCAATCAGTCTTATTCAAGTAAATTTTACTTACAAATTTCACTAACACTTTGTGTAAAATTAGATCATTTTCACTAAAATAGTGTAGACACAACACAATCATGATACACAAGTTTTCCATTCACTTCCTTCTGCAGTCAATTCCCTCCCTCCCTTCCATCCCTAGTCCTTAGAAATCACTAATCTTTTTTTTTTTTTAAGATTTATTTATTTATGCTTGCAGAATTGGGTACAGGCCAGAGGTGTGGTGGGTGAGAGGATTCACCAGAGACAGTGGGGAGCAGAACAGGCAGATGTACTGAAATATATTGCTGAGGGGAGCAGTAGGCGGGTCAGGAGAGGTCTGTCACGCCATGTGGGTCAGCTCCCTGGCTGGGAATTGAATTCGTGCTGCAGTGGCTTTGGAGAGCTTCATAATGTGGTGCTTTAACCCCCTGTGCCACCAGGGAGAGCCCCACACTAATCTACTTTCTATCACTACAGCTCTGTCTTTGCTGGAATTTTAAAAGAATAGAATCATACAATATGCAGTTCTTTGTAGCAGGCTTTTCTCTCAGTATATTGTTGAGGCTCGCACATGTATGTGGCAGTAGTCTACCCCTTCCTTTTTTCATTTTGCACAGTAGTATTCTACTGAATGAATAAACCAAATTTTGCTTATCTACTTGTTAGTTGATAAAATCTGGGTTGTATCAAGTTTATGGTTATTATTAATAAAGCTTCCATGAAAAGTGAAGTACAAGTATTTTTTTAGTATGACATACATTTTCTTTATCATGGGTAAATATCTAGGAATAGGATGCTGGGCAGTACAGTAAGTTTGAGTCTAATTTTCTAAGACACTGCTAAACTGTTCTCTTAAGTTGCTAGATTTTGCATTCCCACCAACAATGGATATTTGCACACGCTCCACAACCACATCAAAATTTGGTACTGTCCGTTTTTAATTTCAACTCTAAATAAATGTGTAGTTTTTTACTGTGGATTTGATTTGGATTTCCCTAATTATTGGTAATAATAACTTTTACATGTTTATCTGGCACTTATATAGCTTATTTGTTGCCTATTAAAATATTTTCTGGGCCCTCCCTGGTGGCGCAGAAGATTAAAGCACAGCACTATGAAGCTGAAGCGACTTCCGCATGAGTTCGATCCCTGCCTGCCCCAGGGGTGACCACATGGTACCGCAGACCTCTCCTGACCCACCCGCTGCTCCTCTCAGCAGTGTACTTACTCAGCAGTGTACTTTGTCAGTCAGCGTGTTCTGCTCCCCATTCTGTCTCTAGTGAATCCTCTCACTGCCCCTGCACATCTGGCCCGTACCCCACTTCTGTATGCATAAATAAATCTTTAAAATTATATAGATTTTCCCATAAAAAAAAATCATGTTGTTTGTCTTTTTACTGGGTATGAATTGTTCATGTGTTCACAGAGGTCTTTGCAAATATATCTGTCACAAATGTCTTCTCTTAGCATGTAGTTTGTCTTTTTATTTTGATAATGACATATTTTGAAAGCAGTCATTTTTAACTTTGATGAAGTACAATATATTACCTGCTTCTTTTATGATTAGTGTATTTTATGACCTAAGCAACTTTTATTTACCCTAATGTTTTAATTCCTCCTATGTTATCTGTTAGAAATTTTAAGATTTACATTTAGGTCCATGATACATTCTGAGTTAATTTTGTGTATGGCAAAGGTAAGGGTTAAGAATGACAACACTCCAGTGTTAAAGTGGTATTTTGTTGCAGAGTATCAGTTCACCATTGAATTACCCATGTACTTTTGTCAAAAATCAACTGACCATTATATGTTGATGTAAATCTGGATCTTCTTTTTCATTACAATGATCTTTCTATTTCTATACCAATGTCACATTATCCTGATTAATATATCTATACTGTAAGTCTTGAAGTATGGTATTAGGCTGATTAAATTTTCTTCTTTGTGTCAAAAATTCCTTGGACTATTCCAGGTCATTTGGTTTAAGTATATGTCAATTTTTACAAAAGGGAGATTTTGATTAGGATTTTTTTGAATTTATAGCCCTTCTGGCTAGAAATGGTATTTTTAAAATATTGAATTTTCCAAACCATTAACATGAGACATTTTTTCATTTACATAGGTCTTTTTCTCTCACAAATGTTTTATATATATATTTTTTACCTCAGATCACACACATTTAAGTTAAATTGCCCTTAAGTATTTTGTAGTTTTTTTGAGATACAGTAAATGGCATTTAAAATTTTTCAGTTTTTAGTTTTAGAAATTAGAAATTAAAGTTGATTTTGTATATTGAACTTTTATCCTGAACCTTTACAAAATTTATCTTTTAAACTGCTTTTAAAAACATTCTCTATGATTCTCTGCATATCTAATTGTAATTTGTAAGTTTTACGGCTGTCTTCCAATTATCAACTGATTTTTAACCTTCCCCATGGTCCAGATTTTCCCTTAGATTTTTTAAACTATATTTATTAAATCATCCTTCATTTTTGCATATTGTCTGATTTACTTAAGAAATTCCCACTACCAATTCACCCGTGCCTATCACCATAGTCCCCTGTGCTCTTCCCACTCCTGTCCTGATCAGAAGTGGACAATTTATACTTTCCCCAAAAGTCATTTGCCCAGGAAGATTCTGATTTTTGACAATTTCATTGAGGAAAAAAATATACTGACTATTTCCCATTAAACTCTTTTTAGAATCATTTCCTTCCAAGCTCCATTTAGAGCTCTAAAGAACCAAGAGAAGTTGTTTCTCTAAGGAAAAAAATCTTTAAGTGCTAGTTAAGAGAAGAAGTTTTGTTATATTGTGAACATGTACTAGCAATAAGGTTATGCTTAGGCTCCTAAACTATATTTTCTGGTAAAAGAACAACAGAAACTAGAGAAAACCATCTACTTAAGGATAACCTCTATTTTCTTTCTCAAGAGCAACTGAAGGAAAAAACACATATACTACCCACTTGTAAAATTACAGACAATTTTGGTCTCTATTAATGATTTCCTTCTTATCAAATCTGAGGACAATTATTGGCTGATTGACACCTCTTTTAATGAGCAGTATAATTTCTCTAAAAAGTACTGTTTAAACATTTCTCCTTAGCTATGCTCCATTAAATTGTTCTATTATCTATTGTCAAATTATACCAAAGGCAAAATATTGCCAAAAATATTTTAAGGAATAAAAACACTTTTAAGTGGGTCTACAACAACTTGTTGGTCACTCCTTTGTGCCCTACACCGTATCTAGTGCAGCACACACAAAGATGCAGAACATGTTCCCAGCCTTCACTCTAGGTGGAAGTGCTAACCTGAATTGTACATGATGGAGTCAGCATACTGCTGAGATACAGTGACATCTGAGGTGAAATTTCAAGCAAGAATAAGAATTAGATTAGAAAGGAAGAATGAGGATGGTGAAAAAATGAACAGGGTATGTGAAGTAACAAGGTCAAGAAAACTGGGAACTTTTTATCATTCATTCAGAAAACATGGGTATCTATTACTAAGCAGGAAGGATAAAGTAGCCAGAAGTTACTTTAAACTGAAAGAGAACTATAATAAATCTGTATCAAGAACTAAATTGGGGGCCCTCCCTGGTGGCACAACTGGTTGAAGCACAGCACTATGAACTGTCTGCAGCCACTGCAGCATAAGTTCCATCCCCGGCCAGGGAGGTGACACACAAGGCATAGCAGACCTCTCTTGACCCACCCACTGCTCCCCTCAGCAGTGTAGTTCAGTTGATCTGCCTGTTCTGCTCTCCACTCTGTCTCTGGTGAATCCTTTCACCCCTCGTACCTCTGGTCTATATCCCAGTTCTTGTATGTATAAATAAAGTATCTTAAAAAAAAAAACAACTAAGTTGACAGGAGAGAATCACAGCAATAGAAAATAAGGCTGAAATATTAGACAAAGAACAAAGGCTCAAAGATAAGAGACAAAGAGAGTAACTAAAGATGGCACCTGAGTTCCCGGTTTGAGCAATGAGTAGAAAGTAGTACCACTTACCATAAAGAACATAGGAATCAGGCATGCAGAAAGACGAGCACTTTATTTCACTTTCTAATGTCATCTTTCTACTTGATATATACATAGAAGGAGAGTCTATCAGAAGGTATTCCCCAACTGGGTACTGGATTAGACTGGATACTTTGCTATAAGACTGTTTTGTACACTGTAGAATCTTTAGAATGTCATATACCAATAGCATTCTCCTAGTTTTAACAACAAAAAAGGTATCCAGACATTGCCAAGTATTCCATAGAAAACAAATCAGCCCATCAATTTTGGGAACACCATTGATCTACAGCACTCAAGGGGTACATAGTTAAAAAACAAGTTGCATCTATGTATATAGATACTTGAAAAAAAAAATCTCCTTTTCTAAAGACTGCTCTTTTCCTTCTAAAAGAAAAGTCCTATGACTTACACACCTTGGGCTCCCTCATGGCATTATTACCATCCCTGACAGCCCTAACTGAATAAGAACACATTAATGCATTTTTAAAAATAGTTCTTGTAGGCATGCTTTACTGGAAGTTTCATGTATACTCCAGACCCTGTAAATAAAATGGTTAAAACAAGGAGAAAAAAATCCTATGTCAAGTAGAATTAATATCCTTCAAACCTGGTAACAGTGCTAAAAGCCCAGAAAGAATTTACTAACTTTTAATCAGAAAACTGGTAATCTTAAAGCAGGAAGCAGAGTAGAATATCACAAATCTCACCTGTAGCAGCTGGGTTTATCAATCCTGTTGAACCACTGTTTGCAATCTGTGAAGGGGCTTGGCTTAGCCCAGTGGAGGGGGTTCCTAACCGAGGAAACTGCTGAGAACTCATTTCCACCTGCAGTGCACACAGTTGTAAGATAATCAGAGGATTCTGAGATTAGAATCAATGAGAAATTAAAGCATCTTCAGTACCTATGACTCTCGCTCCTTACAAAAGCAAATGCTGATCATTTCTCTAAAACAATTTCTTGTGATCAGTATGCAAGTTTATTTAATATTAAACACTATAATGTTCCATAAATACTTGGAAGACCATACTAGAAAGTTGACACTGAATACTGGACAAAAGACATCTCACTGGAATGAACCACTACATATGTACCCGTGTAAAGTCTGAATGAAAAATAGCATGTTCATTTTAAAGACCTCATCTTTACACCAAATTAAGTTACTGTCAATCAACATGTATATTGAGAATTAGAAGAGATACCCTATCCTAAGTGAGGTTTAAGACTTGCTCGGAAAAGAATTTCACATAAATTTCTGCACAGGCCTCTGTTAGGGACTTCCTTCCCCTTTACCTGTCAGATACAGAAGGACTTGAGACCTTCACCATCTTCTCTAAAATCGACCCCCACTTTCTCCCCGTAGTCGAGCTCTGCAGATATGCCTGATTTGTCAGAAACCCCACCCCCACCCTGAAGCCCTCCGCTAAGATCGGAAAACACAGCAGCCCAGACACTTTAGGTCTCTGAGATTCTCTCTCCGGGGAGTGAGGGCAATCTGGAGAGCTCTGGGAACAGCAATGAGCCTCTTTACCTGCAGCCGCCGCCCGCCACCCGCACCTCCTGCTTCCATATCGCCGGGCTGGGGGTGCCGCGGAGGGCCCATCCCGGAGGCAGCGCTGGGCTCCGAGGTTGGGGGGAGGGCTCGAGCCGGAGCGCGTCTCGGTCCAGTCGCTGTCCAGTCCCGCCGGCCCCGTTCACCCCCGCCACCCGGTCGCCGCCGCTACGCTCCAGTCCTCTTCCCCAGAACCTGCCCCCACCTCCCCGCGCGCCCATTGGCCTCAGGCCGAGCGCGTCACTCCGGGGTCCGCACCAATCCCCAGCGGCCTACGCGTTCTGGTCCCGCCCCACCCTCCCGCCGCCCGCCAGCCAATCAGGCGCGAGGCTGGCCGGGGCAGCCCAAACCCCAGGCAGCTGAACCAATGGCAGGAGGAGAGCCGCGCTCCAAGCGAAGGGGGCGGAGAGCTTGGAGGCTCCGCCTCGGTCGGTGTCTGAAAGCGGCGGGCGCAGGGCCCGGATGTGGAGAGTCACTTTAAACTGCTCCAGGAGCCAAACTCCCTGGGCCGCCCGCCCGCCCGCGCTCCCGCGGCCACCCCGCTTCCCCGCCAAAGCCCGCGTCCGCCACGCCCCCACGTCCGAGTCCGCCCACCCACTCGGCGCTTCTCCCTGTCTTGCCGCAGGAGACCTGGCCCCTGCCACCGGCCCAACTGCCGTGCCTAGCAAGCCGAGAAACACGAGCCCGAGCCACAGCAGACGCGGCACTGCTGCCCTTCCCTGGGGACGCGCAGCGGGACGGACGCTGCAGCCCGGCTAAGCCGCCCCGCCCCCTCGTCTCCTCCCCTCTCTCCTCCCGGGCGCGTCCCGCCATTACCTGGGTGCTGCGCCGAGTGGCCACCGCGCCGCCTCGAGCTCGCTCCCGTGCTCTCTCCGCCTCTGGGGCCGACGTCCTCGGGCTCCGGACCCGCCGCCGCCGCCGGGGCGCTAGCACTCTGCCCCCCACCCCTCAGCCCAGCGCCGCTGCTTCCGCCGCCGTAACGAGCCTATCACCTATTGGCCAAAGTAGGCCCCGCCCTCCTTCGGGGAGGCCAGTCACAGCTCGTCGTTAGTCGGAGAGCGGACGGGCCTGCCCCTCGGGGTCGCAGAGGCCTTTGGGAAATGTAGTCTTTGGTGCTGGGAGGGCGGGCCTGGGCGGGGCGTCCGAGCGACCCGGCCGGAGTCGCACACCTCTTCGAGTCGGGAGTAGGTTTTTCCTTCCTTAGTAAAAAGATAGTGGGTCCCACCCCTTTGAGCGCTCTGTTTGCTTTCATTTTCCCGCGGGAGGCGAGGCGCGGGAAAAGAAGAGAGGAGGCCGAGCGAGCGAGTTGGGGGGCCGCGGGCAGGGCCGAGGGGTGTACTGATAGTCCGCTGCCCCCGCCCCACGAAGGACTGGGTGTCACCACGGAAGGCCACAGCCCGCGGAGCTTGAGCTTCGTGGGAGGATCGGCTGCCTAGAACTAGAGCGACTCGGTCGGCTTGGCGCGGGGCTCGCTGCCTCTGAGCCGCGAAGTCTCGGGTTAAAACTGGCGGATGCCATAGGGTCCGGCCCAGTGCACCTGCTCGGTTTTTACAGCTTCCCAAGAAGTGGAGGAGCTGGCGTTCTGTTTGGATGGGAAGTTGGAGTCAATACTCCCGTGGAAGTCTTAACCAAAGCTTCTCAAGCAGAATTTGGGTCTAACAGTAGAGATTATTGTCTCCCTTCCCTTCTCAGATGGCAATTCAGGTGAAGAAATAACTAACAAACTGCTTAAGCTCCTACTCCATGTTGCTCATGCATTTTTGTGTCACACCGCTTGCCAAGAAGAGAGGCGCTCAGGGCAACAGAGGAGTTTCAGATACTCTTCTTCCTCAAACGTCTTTCCTTTCTCACTTCCCATCTCAAATTCTAAAAGTCACTGATGTGATATAATTTAGCCTCCTTTTTCCTTAGGCGATCTCTACCGCCTGTTGTAGTCTGCTCCTGCTAGCATCTTACATTGCTCCTCGGGTCGCCCATGGCTCTCCCTTTCTGGCTCACTGACAGTAATTCCACCTTAGGATGGTCTCCCTTTGGCCTTTTTAACGTGCTCTCTCCTGGCTCTACACCTGCTTCTGGCATGCTCCCTTGTACAAATGCGGGCATGTCTTGGTTTATTGCATTCCACTGTATCGTGCTTTGTAGATATGACGTCTGTTTTTAACAAATTGAAGGTTTGTGGCAATCCCGTATGGACCAAGTCATTGACTATTTTCCAACAATATGGTGAGTGTTTTTTTTTTTCTTTTAGGAAAAAGGAATTAAAAATATTTATTTATTTACGCATCCAAGAAACGGGTTACAGGCCAGAAAAGTGGGGTGGGGGTGAGAAGATTCACCAGAGACAGAGTGGGGAAGAGAACAGGCAGATTGACTGAAATATACTGCTGAGGGGAGCAGCAGGTGAGACAGGAGAGGTCTGTTGTGCCATATGGGTCACCTCCCAGACCTGGGATAGAACTTCTGGTGCAGTGGCTTTGGATAGCTTCATAGTACTGTGCTTTAACCCCTTGCACCACCAGGAGGGCCCAGAGAAAGGAATTTTTAAATTAATGTACATACATTTTTTTAGACATAATATGCACACTTAGTGGAAACATCAGTGTTACCATAATTCTATAAGCAGTGGGAAAACCAAAAATTCATGTGACTGACTTTATAGCTATCTTTGCTTCCTTGTGGTGGCCTGGAACCCATAGCACAATAGTTCCAAGAGTTCCAAGTTCTGTATAGCATTTCCCAAGGTTCCAACCTCTTATTTTTTATAAGATTTATTTATGCATACAAGAATTAGGGTACACGTCAGAGGTGCAGAGGGGTGAGAGAATTTGTCAGAGTCAGAGTGGGGAGCAGAACAGGCATACAGAACTGAGATACACTGCTGAGGAAAGCAGCCGGTGGGTCAGGAGAGGTCTGCCATGTTCTGGGTCACTTCCCTGGCTGGAGGCTCAAACTCATACTGCAGTGGCTGCAGATAGCATCATAGTGCCGTTCTTTTGACCCATTTTGCCATCAGGGAAGGGCCCCCGATCTCTTTTAGTGCTACATTATCTTCCTGATTGGTTTAACAGACTTCTGACAGTGTTTTGAGAATAACTCAAAACTTAACCTACAAAACTAAGCCCTTGAAGCACAACATAGTGAACACCATTATTGATCTGCATCAGTTTTGTATTCCTCTTCTTGATGTCTGGGTTTGCTTAATGATATCACTCTTATGTTTTTGGTTTTATTCTCCTTATTTCTCACTCTTTCATCTTGACAAGTTAGTTTTGAACCCCATTTTCAGTTACATCTATAGCCTTAGTAAGCTTTCATTTTTTTCTTATCTGAATTACGGTGGCACTGAGCCCACTCAGATTTCTTCCTTCTGTCCTCAACAGAGTTCTGTCTCCTAAGCATTAAGTTGAGCATCCCATCCATGATAATCCAATAATGTTGGAATACAGAATACATACTATCCCCTTAAGTGTAGCATTAAGTGCCATAATAGTTCTATCGCCTTTCTTCTCCAGACACTGGATATTGACAGGATTTAATAATAGTTTCCACCAGTTCTCCACAGTTTGTCTTCAGGAGTTACTCAACCTGCAGCAGACATCTACTAGAGCACTGCCAGTTGTACAATGCCATCTGTCTTCTCCAAGAAGACTTCTTTGAATTCTCCTTTATCCACCCAACTGGATACTTCTGTGGGAACTTAGTACATCTATTATAGCACTAACCTATCTTCTATGTATTTTTTTTTTTTTTTGGAGCAGGTAGAACTAGAAATCACTCATCTTTATAATGCTTACCAACAGGAAGGATTCAATAAATGTTCACTGAGTATAATTACACATCCTTGGTATATAAATGAAATCTTCATTTTGCTTAAGTTTCTGGGACAGTTTCTGCAACTTTATTCACCACTATTTAAATAGCCTCAAACAGTGGACCTCAAATAGTGGATACTTGAGGAAATAATTTCACTGATGGCATATTATTAGGGTTTAGAATTCTCATCTATTGAGCCTGGTGTGCTGAAGATAGTATTTCTGTTCTGGTCAATGTGAACTTGTCTCAGGTATTAGAGTCTCTTGGACTTATTAGTATCTTGGTTTCTTGAAAATAATATTGTCTGCACCTGATAGTTTAGGTGGGTTGAGCAAATGTGATGATTACTTAAAGGCAGGCAAGTAACTACTACCCTCTGCCAACAAGGAGTAAATGTTCTAAATGCAGATGTCCTGTGGTAGTCAGGCAAGTGCCAGCAGTAGTCTGCAAGATTGGAGATGTTCTGCTGGGCTTTTGCCACTGACCCCACATAATTCTTAGTCTATCAGAACCTGGGTGGTTTAGTGATAATGAATTTTTGATTCTTTTTTTTTTAAAGATTTATTTATTTATTTTAACACTGATTGAAAAAGATACTTGTACCCCCATGTTTATTGCTGCTTTATTTACAATTGGAAAAACATGGAAGCAGCCCAAATGCCCAAAAGTA